TTCAATCGGGTTTACTTCGCAATGATATGGTGGTGATCTAACCACCGTCATCCCACGATTTTTTGCAATTTCATCAATTTCATATTTTTTGAATTTCTCTTTATGAAGGGAACACAAATGATACAGTTCTTTTCTCAAAGAACCGGGATGGACCTTAATATTCTTTGAATTTAGCCAATTCTCTAAATCTTTTTTTAACCACTTGATTGTGGGCATTTTTTCTATAAGTCTCGAGTGATAACTTGCATTATCCATTACTATTATACAGTTCTGAGGAAGATCTATAATTTGTTCGAACCACTCTTTAAAGACATCAGCATTCATGTCCTCATGGTAGTCACCGGTACGAGTAGATTCAAAAGTCAATAAACCACCTTTAACAAAACCGTTTGAACTACCGATGTGTACTATTATTAGTCTGCGCCCCTTTCCTGATGGTGGATTTAAACCAGTAGATAAATTATTTAAAAAAGCCTGTCTTCGACTTGTAACATTTTCATCTTGCCAAAATTTATTTGGTTTATGTCCCTCGTTGATCCATGTTTCATCTAAATAAAATATATTTCTTCTTTGGTTTCTCATTTCTTTTATAGTCCTTAGGTAATTTCTTCTCCATACTACAATATCGCTTCTTTCTATTAAAATAGACTTTCTGGAATGCTTTTTCCATAGAAAACCTATTTCCTTTAACAGTTTCCATAGTGTTCTTCGACTCATTTCAGGGTAATCCTTATCATCTCGAACCGTGGCAAGAACTTTGTTTACTGTCGGAAATTCTTTTCTAAAGAAGAACGCATGCACTTTACTTCGAAGTCTATCTTTCAAAAGATTTTCTAATTGAAATTTTGGTTTTCCTGGAGCTTTACGTGCTGTTTGAAACTCGCCACATTTCTCTTCTTTAACAACTCTGTAAATCGTAGATTTCCCAACACCAAGCGTACTACTAATTCCACTGTGTCATCAACACTTTTATATAAATGTTTGTCTGCAAATGATTTCAAACAATTAAATATTAATGTTTTTTCATTAACTGTTAAAATACCGATTTTTTGTCGTTTACGCGTCCCTTCCAAATTTTCCATGATCACACTAGAATTCACACTGCACCTTGCAAGTTGCAACTAAACGACATTTAGTAAACTGTCAAGAATACACAACTCGGACCTCCTTACTAAATAGAAAACCTATAATCGCATTTTCGGTGAAATTTGTTGGGAAGGTATTTATCTACTTATAATTCGATTACTGTAAGAAATTCTTGGAATTAAAATAAAACAAAATTGGCAAATAGGTACTTATTGAAAATAATCTTAAGATACGGCTATGTAATCTTTAATACACAGGGCTTTTGGCCTATCCAAATCTTTTTCTATTGTTCTGTACAGCTTATGTTTATAAAGGACCAATAAAAGACCCAAAACTTGTAATAGCTCAGGTACATTTATTACAATTTTAGGAAATATTTAGATTATTCTGTAAAAATATTTAAAATGACCGTACTAAGTTTTGCATTAGAAATGCTGTCTTATTACTCTTTCATATATAAAAATAGACTATAACATCATGACAATTCTTTTATATCATACAAAAATCACTTGAGTTCTCTGAGCAAAGATGCAGTGTTAAGCAGGTAGTTGTTAAATAAAAATAATGTAAATATGTACAAATTTGAAAGTTGTGCACCAACAGGAGACAGTCCATTTGGTAAACGCGCCTTAGGGTCGTACTTATAATTTGTGTTGGATTCAACTGTTAGAAACCTAAAAATCCAACAGACCTGTTTTCTCTAAATAAAAAATTTAAAAAAATAGTGCTTTGATTGTAATTAACCAGACCACCTCAGTAGTTAACCTAAGCTTCTATTCCTCCTCCTCCTCAATGTAAGATATTTAAAGACCCATATAGTCGCTCTTTGTTCGCTTTTCTTCGTATTCGAGAGCTCTTTGAACCGTACACGCGTTTTTTGTCTTGTCATTCATTGGTGCGCTTTGTTTTAAGGACGTTATCGGGGCTCATATAAAACGGTTATACGACCTATTCTAATTTTACGGCCCGTCGAATCATAAAAAAACGACGAAAACAAGAAATCGTTTGAAAATATAAAAACCAAACGGATATAATATGCGGCTATCTGGTTTCGTGTAAAAATTTTAATGCCCACGATTTTTTTTTTATCAATTTTATGTCGAGATGCAGTAATAATAACGAGAGATTTGGGTATAAATCACTGAGATACATAAACAAAATGAGTATACAGGGTGTTTCATTGTTTCTAATAAAAACTAATAATAGTTATAGTCTATTTTTATGTATGAGAGAGTAATGAAACAGCATTTCTAATGCAAAACTTAGTACGGTCATTTTAAATATTTTACAGAATAATCTAAATATTTCCTAAAATTGTAATAAATGTACCTGAGCTATTACAAGTTTTGGGTCTTTTATTGGTCCTTTATAAACATAAGCTATACAGAACAATAGAAAAAGGTTTGAACAGGTCAAAAGCCCTGTGTATTAAAGATTACATAGCCGTATCTTAAGATTATTTTCAATAAGTACCTATTTGCCAATTTTGTTTTATTTTAATTCCAAAAATTTCTTACAGTAATCGAATTATAAGTAGATAAATACCTTCCCAACAAATTTCACCGAAAATGCGATTATAGGTTTTCCATTTAGTAAGGAGGTCCAAGTTGTGTATTCTTGACAGTTTACTAAATGTCGTTTAGTTGCAACTTGCAAGGTGCAGTGTGAATTCTAGTGTGATCATGGAAAATTTGGAAGGGCCACGTAAACGACAAAAATCGGTCCTTTAACACTTAATGAAAAAACATTAATATTTAATTGTTTTAAATCATTTACAGACAAACATTTATGTATAAGTGTTGATGAGACAGTGGAATTAGTTAGTAGTACGCTTGGTGTTGGGAAATCTACGATTTAAAGAGTTGTTAAAGAAGAGAAATGTGGCGAGTTTTAAACAGCACGTAAAGCTCCAGGAAAACCAAAATTTCAATTAGAAAATCTTTTGAAAGAAAGACTTCGAAGGAAAGTGCATGCGTTCTTCTTTAGAAAAGAATTTCCGACAGTAGACAAAGTTCTTGCCACGGTTCGAGATGATAAGGATTACCCTGAAATGAGTCGAAGCACACTATGGAAACTTTTAAAAGAAATATGTTTTCTATGGAAAAAGCATTCCAGAAAGTCTATTTTAATAGAAAGAAGCGATATTGTAGTATGGAGAAGAAATTACCCAAGGACTATAAAAGAAATGAGAAACCAAAGAAGAAATATATTTTATTTAGATGAAACATGGATCAACGAGGGACATAAACCAAATAAATTTTGGCAAGATGAAACTGTTACAAGTCGAAGACAGGCTTTTTTAAATAATTTATCTACTGGTTTAAATCTACCATTAGGAAAGAGGCGCAGACTAATAATAGTACACATCGGTAGTTCAAACGGTTTTGTTAAAGGTGGTTTATTGACTTTTGAATCTACTCGTACCGGTGACTACCATGAGGACATGAATGCTGATGTCTTTAAAGAGTGGTTCGAACAAATTATAGATCTTCTTCCTCAGAACTGTATAATAGTAATGGATAATGCAAGTTATCACTCGAGACTTATAGAAAAAATGCCCACAACCAAGTGGTTAAAAAAAGATTTACAGAATTGGCTAAATTCAAAGAATATTAAGTTCCATCCCGGTTCTGTGAGAAAAGAACTGTATCATTTGTGTTCCCTTCATAAAGAGAAATGCAAAAAATATGAAATTGATGAAATTGGAAAAAATCGTGGGATAACGGTGGTTAGTTCACCACCATATCATTGCGAAGTAAACCCGATTGAACTGATATGGGAACAGATAAAGGGAGAAGTTTCAAGAAAAAATAATTCTTTTAAAATGAGTGATGTTAAACAGTTGTTTTGGAGTCTGTAAATAATGTGAAGCCTGAAAACTGGGAAAAAGCAGTAAATCATACGATTAAAGAAGAAGAGAAAATGTGGAAATTGGACAATATTACTGATGAAATGATCGAGCCACTCATTGTAAATATTGGTTGCGACAGTTCATCTTCTGATTTCGATTCTGATTTGGATTTGTAGGTAAGAAGTAGTTTTTATATTAAAATTATTATTTATGAACGTAACGTTGTTTAAAAGTCAAAGTTTAAACCCTTATACCTACATAACCCGTTTGACACAATGTTCTTAACATACCTTGTGGAAAAATAAAACATTTTAGAAAAAATTGCACTTTTTTACCTTTAGCTGTTTGGAAGTTATAAGCAGGTTAATTAGGTGAAAATATAAGTGTATACTCGAGGAATAACTTCAAAAAATATTTTAACTGTCTACTAAAAGAAGTGCTACGCCTATGGATTACGAACGCTTTATTATTTTAATACTCTTTCATACATAAAAATAGACGTTTTATAACAAAATAGAGTCGTAGAAGGTATTTAAATACAAAAAACACATTCCAGCGGCGGGGAACACTATCTTAAAAATTGGTTAAAATAGTAAACATGTTTTGACATTTCCATTTTGACAGTTCGATTTCTGTTAGATCTAACAAAATCTCAGAGCTGTTTAGGGTAGTCAACTATATTATTTCACATGATTTTATATCATAAAAATATTTTCGCGATGATTAATATACAGAGCGTTATTAAATATACGAGGCGTTATCAAATTCGTGTCCTACTGTGCAAGAGGATATTCTAGAAAATGCACTAAGATGATGACAGAGAATTTGGATTAGTTACTGCTGACATTTTTAAAGAAACAACAATACTTACAAAGGTAATTTGTTCATACTATTCTTTTAAAATTATTATTTAAAATATGTGGGTTTATGAATATTATAGTCTAAATATGCATGTTTAATAATTGTAAAGTGTAACTTACAGATGGTCCAATTATTACTTCCAGAATAAAAACCTATAAAAGTACTTAAAAAAAATGTTTTGTTTGTTTAGAAAAAAGGATACATTTCTTGGAAGAAGTCCAGATGTGGAGGCTGAAGGATATCTAAGGCTGAAAGAACCTGAAACAAAAAAATAAAAAACCATAAAAAAGATTCTTGATTATTTCAAATTATTTTAAATATAAAATTTGTAAACTCAATTCCTTTAAAATTATCTTACAATATAATAAAATACTCATAGGAATTCCCTGTATAATAGCTTTATAGTGTTAAACACAAATTGTATTTCGATATAATTGAAAATGTAAAAATAGGAAAATTTCTAATTCAATTATTTCGAAATTCGATGAAAAACATTCACTATTAAATAATTAACTTTAATGATATTTTTTAACATGCTGATAGTTTTTAAAAATACCGTTTCGAATTTAGAAACTTTAATAGCTTGTTACCTATTAGTAGATTGATTTTAAAATATTCCATATGCCATTATTTTGGAATGATAATAAAAATTGATTGTAGCTATTCATCCATTTTGAATATTTCTCTGAACGGAAACATGTGGTAATGCTATAATTGCGGATATGAATGGAGGATGCACGATGGACCTATTATGGCCTAAATAACACGGAGCTTGTCCGATTCTTTATATTTTTACAGATACATTTTGAATTTTGAAAGTGCCATCTTTGTTGTTTAAATATACAAAAACATATTTTTCTGTCTGGTTAAATAAAACGTAATTTTTATTACAAAAAAATAAAAAAAAAAAAACTAAAAATATGAAATTTAACATAGAAACATAATTTTATACTCGTAATATCTAAATGTGCAAAATCTCATTCTTGTTGCCAAAAAAAAAAATTGCCATCTTTGTTGTTTAAACATAAAAAACACTAATTTATATCGTTATTTTTATTATGTACAAACGTCATTTTTGTTATGCTCAAGTGTCAATAAACATGATTTTTTGTCCGGTAGAATAAAACGTCATTAGTGGTAAAACATAAAAAAAAAACTTATAATTTGTTATGTTCGGTAGAATAAAACGTCATTTTTATTACAAAAAGTGATGAAACATTAAAAAAAACCTTTTTTTAATTAAAAAAAATATGAAATTTAACATAAAAACATAATTTTTATTGTGTACAAACGCCAGAATTATAACTTTATAATAAATAAACGTGTTTCAACTTCATCTTATGTCAAAACAACAAAATTGTCAACTTTGCTGTTTATAAATAAAAAAATACTAATTTTAATGTGCAAATGTCTTTCTGTTATATCCAAATTTTAATAAACATAATTTTCTATGTCTAGAATCCAAAAATATTAAATTTAACATAAAAACATAAAACACTAATTTTAATGTGCAAATGTCATTTTTGTTATGTCCAAATGTCAATAAACATAATTTCTTATGTCTAGTAGATTAAAACGTAATTTTTATTACATGAAGGAGCGAAATATTAAAAAAAAAACCTTTTTTAAATCCAAAAATATGGAATTTAACATAAAAACATAATTTTTATTGTGTACAAACGCCAGAATCATAATTTTATAATAAATAAATGTGTTTAAACTTCATCTTATGTCAAAACACCAAAATTGTCAACTTTGGTGTTTAAAAATAAAAAACACTAATTTTAATTTGCAAATGTCATTATTTTATGTCCAAATGTCAATAAACATAATTTCTTATGTCTAGTAGATTAAAACGTCATTTTTGTTGCACAAAACGGTGAACCACAAAAAATACTTTTTTAAACCCAAAAATATGAAATTTAATATAAAAATATAATTTTTGTTATGTACAAACGCCAAAAACATAATTTTATAATATCTAAATGTGTTAAATTGCATCTTGCTCTGTCAAAGTACCAAAATTGACAACTTTGTTGTTTAATAATAAAAAATACTAATTTGTATATACAAACGTCATTTTTATTACACAAACTGGTAAAATATAAAAAAAAACTTTTTAGAACCAAAAATTTAACATAAAAATTGTGCTAAATAGCATTTTATATTGAAACACCAAAATTGTCATCTTTATTGTTTAAACATTATTATGTACAAACGTCATTTTTGTTATGTCCAAGTGTCAATAAACATGATTTTATGTCCGGTAGAATAAAACGTCTTTTATATTAAACAAAGTGGTGAATCATAAACAAAACTTTTTTAAATCCAATAATATGAAATTTAACGATGGTTTTTACTATTCTGATTCGGAAAAATTGTATTTTTCCTCTCTATAATTGTTATTCGATTGGTATGCTTCCAAAAAATGTTATCTGCATTTGACCTGATTAATCATGAGTTATTGTTATAAAAAAAAACCGTACGGCTTCGTGAAAATTGACTCCGAGTCGAGTGGTTAGCTTGAATTCATTAGATATAGTGGAACGACACATTACACATTAATATGGTGAATCATTCGTGAAATATTAATAAACAGAACTAGATACGATAATGGTCATAAAATGGTTCTTTTATGTCCCTATCGTTCGGACAGAAAATTAATATAGTGCTGTATTCGATGATGGTAATATTAAATAATATTAATCTACGCTATAATATTTCCTTCCTCACATACAAGTAAACTCCATTAAGGAAAACTTGTACATGAATCATTGCAGATTAATTACGCATGCGTCAAAAAATGCATAACTATCGTTTTTTACAAATAATATCATTAATTGGATCCAGTAAGACGAGGTAGAAGAAATTCATCATTTTAAAATTAAATTACTTTTGAAAAATTATTGTTTATGTTCTAAAATTACTAAAGTGCAAATTTCGTCAAAACCATGAGAGTAATCGAGTCTTATCAAGAGTACCTTTTTTAAAGTAAATGACTTGCGCAATCTAAATTTCATACTCAAACTCCTTTTCTTCCATTGGCGTAGAATTTTTAAAGGTGCAATTATTTAAAAAATCAAGTTCTATGCCTATGTATTATTATCGGACAAAATTTTAATACCATTTTTTTGCCACATAAAACTCTACCAATATACCAAATTTCAGCAAAATCGCATATGCCGTTTTAAATTTATATGGGAAAAACGATTTAAAAATTGTAACTTCAATGCCCTCTGGAGCCCAAACGAAGCAACTTTGTACTAAGGTAATTTTACTTAAATCGACTTATTTTGGTCTAAGGAATATGTGGTATGTTTTTGTAAAGACCTTTTACAGACACCCTGTATAATAGCACATTTTTAGACCGCCTCAATGAGCATTAATAGTAATTTCATTCTATTTAACTAAATACATAATTTTAGTTGACAATATAGAAATAAATATTCGATTAATTATACAGCTGGATAGTCGATTAGGAGTCCTTTCAAATGAGGTGTCTCATGACCTCTATTTGTATTTAAAAAATCGTCGCTAACACTGGTGACGTAACTTCTATTACATGTATATCTTGAGATAGCCATTTCAAAATTTAAATTGACGTGTTTTAGGATTCAAGAGTGTTTAAATTATAAATGATATCTATTTGGATCTACAATCTTCTAGATGATACACATATTTTATTTTTAGTTAGGTTTCTTTTATTTGATGTCAGATTTGAGAATTTGTTCTTAACTCAAATTCAAAAATAGTATAGAATTTGTGTTTCGAAATTTATAAATATTTACACAACAATAAAAAATACCAAAGAAGGCTGCAAAGCACCTAGAGAATTTTGCCATATTTTTAGGCCATTTTAAAGCAATTTTTATTTCCTGTTCAAAAATTTTATGTTCTTCGTTTTTTTACAAAAATTAATGTGCTCTGCTAGCTTCAAACGAAGCCAGTAGAGCACCTCCGTTTTTTTAGGCTCTTCAAATGTTATAAAAAAATTGTAGCAGAGCACTTCGAGTTTTTAAAACCACATTTTTAGGCTATTTTAGGCTATGTTTAGGCTCTTGAAAGGTTATAAAACATTACGGTTTTAAAACCACATTTTTAGGCTATTTTTAAGCTATTTTTAGGCTATGTTTAGGCTCTTGAAAGGTTATAAAACATTACGGGAAAAAATATATGTTTTCTGAATGTGTTATAATATTTCAAAACCCTAAAAATAGCTTTAAAATGTGGTATATTTGTTTTTAGAAAAAACTATAAAGTCAGTAAAGCCCTAGGTTCTTAAGATAGTTTTATCTTGAGTTTCGTCAATTTGTAAGAGAATTCCGCTTCTTCCAAAAAAATGCCAGAACTTCTAAAAGAATTTAGGGAATTCCTTCCAGATGTGTACACGGAATTCCTTATAAATTTAACCTTCGACTATACCGGGTGGTTCATCAGGAAATGCATCGATCGATATATCAGAAGCTGGATAAAGAAAAAATTTTGAAAATTTTGGAATCCAATCCAAAGCTTGTAATAAGGGTTTTCTTAAAGGAAAAACTGATAATTATATAGGGCTTGCAAACGTCATTTTTGATATAAAACTTTAATAATGTCAAAAACTGGACATGATACGTAAAACCTGCCTAGACTCTTCAGTAGAATCCAAAAATGTAATAATATGTTGGGTATCATATTTAAAATAAGCGACTGTTCAGAATTTTTTGTGATTTTCAGTACAACGTGGCAACACCGTAAATTATTGACACGCTAACAACGACTTAAGATCTTTTTTCAATATAACCAGAAGTGCCCAATAGATGAAAATATTTTATGTGAATAGTAATCAAGAAATCTAGCAGGTTCCCAATCTTTTTAATTTTTCCTACATCCAGTTTCTGAGTGGTTCATCTTGTATATGCAAGCCTTTTTGTTCCATTTCACTTTATGCATTAATCATTTGTTAAATTATGCAGGGTGTTATAATACCACCCTGTATATGTAATAAATAAAGGCATACTTACGTTTTCGTGCTTGAAGAAACACAGCATTTTTAATTCCCTAAACACCCTCTTCGACGACACCACCGATTGGAACACATTTGGTAATTTTTTTAATGCCACTCGTCTACCGTCTCTGGGGTCTGTCACGGCCCTGCAACAAAGAAAAAAACGAACAGTCAGAAGAGAATCCATAAATATTTCAATTTCGGGCTAGCGTTCCCAAAAAAAACAACTCGAGTGTAATCTCGTTAAGGTACACTATGCTAGATTGGCTTTTTATTTCCTGTTCCTGCGTATACCCCAAATTCAGGGTCGGGCAGGTGTTTGGACGAAAGAAAAACAATAAGGTCAGTAAACGTTATAGTCCGGTCAAAATAGACATTCAAGTTTACAATTATTCGCATAAAGGTGAATCTTGGTTTGATTCTTCATAATTATCAATTAAAAGAAATGTCGAAAGTCCCCCATTCAAGTTCAAAGTTCGCAAAAATGGGTAAGTTTTATTATAAATATACATCAGGCAAAAATTGTAGAACATGCAATTGTCTACAAAAATTGTCACTTTTTTCCTACGAATCACCGCTTTTGAGATATAGCGATTCAAAAGTTGAAATATCCATAATAATAGTTCAATTTTTTATTAAAACCAACATTATTTTATTAAACAATACCACAATATACCGTGAATAGGCCTACTGGGAAAACCACATAAAAAAACTGAACCGTGTACATAACCTCACAGATGCTATGGAAATTATGGAGATTGCAACATTTGAATCACTATATCTCAAAAACGGTGATTCTTAGGACAAAAGTGTAAAGGAAATTTTTGTAGATATTTGCATGTTCTACAATTTTTGTCTGATGTATTTTTAAGATAAAACTTACCGTTTGGCTGAAAATTTTTAAATTTGACCTGGAATAACTTTGTTTGCACATGCAGGATCGATGGGGACTTTTGAAATTTCTTTTACATTGATGATATAAACAATCAAACCAATATTGTTAACATCACTCCTATTTTGACCGGACTATAACATATTGGGAAGTTTTACAAAGTTGAAAAGTACCCGTTTACGATTGCTGTAAATTTAAATTACGTACTTTATGACGTTTGTAAACCGACCTCCTTGAGTATCAAATTATACACGCCCGGTAGAATATAAAAGGGGAAAGAATTTATTGATACTCAATAAAGGGAACAATTGGAATTTACAAACTGTTCGCTAGGTTTACTTTTCACTATTAGAAAGGGGCTGGTAATATACAAACGCCTAACCATGTTACGATATTTCTTGTTTAAATATGTTCAATTTTAAACAAAATAATAAAAATAGAAAACATGTTCACATCTGAAAAAAAGCACAAATTTATTTTGTAATATATTAACACCACAGTTTCGGAGATTTGGAGAATAAAATCTCCTACATATTTCCATGAACCCTCTCAAGGTCCGTCTTATGATACTTTTGATATTGAGCTCTAACACAAATTGAAAATGTAATAAATACGAACATGGTGAGATCAAATTTACCTTATATTTTTATACAAGAAATAAACGCAAATTTCTTAATAGACACTGGTAGCCATAGAAGTTTAATAAACTCTAGATTAGCTCATACATTTTATAAAAATATATTTTTAACGAAGATTTTAAAATATTAACGGTGCATAATATAAGTCGTCATAACGAAGTAATTCAAATTCCCATTTTTAATGTAGACAGAGAACAAAAATTTCATGTCAAGGGAGACAATTTTGAAACTTATTGAGTTACTGTAAATAATTAATACTGTTACTTTAAAAATATAATTTTAAAACGAAATATATTTTATTTTCATTGTCCAATGTTGACTTTACCTTATAACAAATAACTTTCCCCCATTTAAATTATTATATTTGTCCTATATTTGTCCTATCTTTACTAAAATGTCCACACCAGCACTCTACTGTCCAGAGTGAACTACACGTTTTCCATTTAAAAAGCATTGGTGTCCAAGATCCTATGCTACAATAGTAATCACTGAGATGTACTTAGACTAAACTCATTACACTAAATATTATACATAGTAATTACTATCTAAGAGGTACTTACTATTCTCGTTACACACTACCTGATATACATAGTAAATACTCGATGTACTTACATCTCTATGTGTATGAAGTAATTACACTCGTTACACTATACAATTACATTCATTACACCGTGCAATTACACTCATTACATGATGTACATAGTAATTGGGAGGTACTTTCTAATTGCGCGAAGGGTAAGGGGTGGGTACTTAGGATAATTACTAATTACCCAATTACCTCTCTCTGTACCTCTGACCTTGGTCCAGAACTGGCTAATCTTATCTACTATTACCTACAATCCTGGACTTTTAACTCTTAAATTAGGAAAGACTCAAAACATAATTGACTACTGGTCATTTGTAAGAATTTTCGACATTTCGAAAGTAATAGACGAATTTAAGTCACTACAAGACACATTTTTCGACCTATAAACGATAACAAAAAATAAATTTATAAACCAGACCAAGTCAGATTCTAAGGACAGCTTTGTTACCTACATTTCAAATAGTAACCATATTAGAAAATAAAATTATTACCTAAATCAATCAATTAAACCCATCACTTAAACAAACCCATAGAGAAAAACATGGACTTCTTAATGGTTTAGGTACAATAATTGAATCAATATCTGGAAATTTAGATCAAAACGACGCCGAAAAATATGACAGTCATAGAAAATCTTTCGAAAAATTAACTACAATTAAAATCTTTAATTAATGAACAAATTACCCTAGATGAAAATTCTTTAGACATATTTAATAAAAGCAGTCAAGTCTTAGCCCACAATCAACTAAAATTAAACTCTCAAATAAACAAAATAGAACCCATTTTAGAAAACCGCTCAAATCCAAAATAAACAAACTTTTAAAAGTGTCTATATTCAAGAAGTCACAAATCAAATATCAATTTTATATCAAAATATTTACGATTTACTAGAAAAAATTGAAACTGCTATCACATTTTCCAAAATAAATTCGATAATAGATCCTAAAGATTTGATCAACCATATTAAATTCATCAATAACAACTTATTAAACAATAAATTACCATTTGAACCAATTTTAAACAATATACTTAAATTTGAAAAAATAATGCAAATTAAAAGTTATAGTAAAAACAAAATTATTTTTATCATAGAAATCCCAATTGTGGAGAGAGAAAATTACGATTTATATCAACTTTATCTACTTCTAAAAGCAACCTTTTCCAAATGATTATTTCAAATTCTAAATTCCTCATCCTAAACGAGCAAATTTTCATGTCATTTGACTCAGAATGTCAAGAAATTAGTAACCAAGAGTTTATTTGTACCAACTCCAGTAGAAGAAGACGCCCCCTGCGAAGTTTCATTGTTGAGGTTTTCCAAAAACCTCACCAACTGCCAAACCATCCCTCTCGGACATAAAAAATTAAAAAAATTCGTCAAAATAAATGGATGATCATCTCATCTCAGAACACAGTGGCCCGAAGAGTCTGCGGACAAGACAATGACAATGTCCCATTAGAAGGAACATTTTTGTTAGAATGAATCAATAAATGTAGTGTTAGAACAGGTAAAATAGTTCTACGTAGAAATGAACTGCCGAAAAGTGAATTTAAAATAACAGAACTTCCTAAAGTTAATATTAGAAACTGTAATGATAAAAATCCTTACCTTAAACCTATTAAATTGAACAGTATTGATTTAGAACAATTAACCATTCTAAGACTATCTAAATTTTCAAAAACAAAAATTATAACATATTTTTGATAATCCAATCCATTTTAACAATATCAGTGTTTGGATTATATTGATTTATATTTTTATTGCATTTTGTTTGTTATTTTGCATTTATTCATATAGAAAATATAGGAAGAATTCATCGAAGAAGAGCTCCAAGGAAGAAAATCCAGCCCACGGATTCTCCTCTAAGGGTGGAAGAGTTATGATAACACAATTATAGCATATACAAGTAGAAGTCCAAGATAAGGCCCCACCAAGATCTAGTAGAGATGAGCTATTTAAAAGTAGTTGAATTAGTTAATCGAAGGGACAAAAAAAGAAATGAGATAATAACAAAAGAGCTAAAAATAGAACTGATCATAGAGAGCATAGAGAGACAAAAACTGAAATGGTATCGACACCTAATGCGTATGGAAGAAAAAAGGCAAACAAAAAAAGATGGTTAACAAGATTATTGCACAAACGAAATAGAGGAAGACCAAAAAAAAAGATGAAATAGTACAGTAGCGGAATATTGGAAGAAACAATGAGTATCCTGGTATAAAACTAAAAGAATAAGAATGGACAAAATAATTAACATATTGTACCTTCCTTCATAAGGTATTTTTTCGCCTACTATATGTGAAAATGAATCATATCAACCCTAAAAATATGACCCTAAGTAACGTATATCGTTCCATGGGCTGCTAAACTCATAACAGTCCGATTTTGTAGTTTTTCACTAGATATCTAGATACCTTTGACTGTCACTTGCGTACTTTGACGTTTCACATAAATTTTGATTAAACGTCAGTGTAAATCTATAAGTGAACATGAATAGTCATTCAGACAGTGACGAAGAATTTATAAATATTCCACCAAACTTGCAAGAGGAAGCCAACAATGTTTCTCTTTCTGTATTTATAAAATTAAGATTTTTGTTATATTTTCCTTTTTTTTGTTTTTTTTTTTTTTGTAGGCGAAAAACAATTGTGTCACTCATGCAGAAAACGCTTTAGCAGCCCTTAGCTATCAGCTGCCCTCGCTTCGCTTTGCTCGCTCATATAGCTAATAACCGTGGGCTGCTAAAGCTCATTTTCTGCCATTGTGACACATACAAAATATCCAAACCAAAAAACTTTTTTAGGCCCCTACATACCTACAAACCTCTGATAAGTCGTTCGCCTAAACATATTCGTCGTTTCTCTTATAAATAATAATACATATCTTAATAAATTATTGTTAACAAGGACCCATTGTACGAGGAACATAATGACCAGATCTCGGATAGGATTAGCTCATGCATCTTTCAATTTAGGCTTATTGTGTGCCGCCATGTAAATATCAATAGATTAGGTTGTTAGTCACCGGAT